CATTGCCAACCCACCGGTGACCACCAGGCTACTGGTAGTGCCCAAATTTGTTACTTAGTCACTCAGAGCATACTTGCTTTTAGTGCTAAGCTAGCCCCTTTTCCTCCCTCATAGCCAATGGCCACAGGGATACAGCCATCAAAAGAAGCAAAGGTAACCCTGGCCAGTGTGGTTCAGTTGGTTGGAGCTCGGATTCAGTCCCCAGTTCAGTCCACATGCGAGGGGCAACCAATTGATGTTTCTCTCAAATCGGTGTTTCTCTCTCCGCCTTCTCCTCCCTCTCTTGAGTCAATAAGCATATCCTCGGATGAGAATTTTTAAAAAGAAGCAGAAGTAGCACAGTATCTGAGTTGCGATTGTCACTTGGCACATGATTATTAAGCGTTGTTCCTGTGCCTGGAACTGTGTGGTGAGCGGGGAGATGGCAGTAAAGAAGGCGCACACTGTCTGAAGGGGGTTGTCCATCACGGTGGGATATTCGAAGTACACTGGGGGCATAGGATGCTTCTGCTCATGGGAGTGGGGAGGAAGGAATAGGGAAGGCTTCTCAGAAGTGCCATCTTAACTCAAATGAAGGTGGAAGAGTGGGCCAGCCCAGGGCCTCTGGTCTCCCTCCCAGGAGAGGCATCATAGTGGGAATAGGATGGGGTTGTTGATACTGCTGCCCTTGCCCGTCTGGCCTGCCCTGCCTTACCCTGCCCTGTGTCCTCCCAGCTGTCCTGTGAAACTCCTCAGTGAAACTTAAAAACCTATCTCAGGACTTCCTCATCCAGGGAATCTCCATCTCTGGGCTTCCCTCTGCCTGGAGCAGGGGAGGTGTCACTATTTTTTTGTTGTTGTTAACTCCTTTGTCCTCCCCTCAACACACACTAAACTGGGAGCTCTAGAAGACCAAAGAATGATGCTTATTCTGCCCTGGCATCCCAGCCCTTAGCACAGTCTGGCCCAGGGCAAGGGCATCAATGAAAACAGGTTGACTCAACTGTGACCTCAGACAAGTTCCCTTGTCTGGTTGTACTTCCTTTTCTTTCCATCTGTGACACTGAAGAATTGAATAGGTGGTTTTTCTGAAGCTAATCCTAACTCTAAAATATATGAATTTGTGAATGTGAACTAGGTGCTCAGTTCTCATACTCGGGATTGTGCTTGTGTATGTGTATGTGCTACACACGTATATATGTTGTGATTAGAGGGAAGATGAAGGGGGTTTGGTTTGTTTTCTTTTTTAAAGTGTGTGTACTTGGAAGGTAAGGGGTGGGTGGAGGGGGAGGGAGGGAGGGAAGGAGGGAGGAAGGAAGGAAGGAAGGAAGATATGTGCCCAGCAAACCCCATAACCTCCTGGTGTGTGTGTGGGAGGGGTGCTTAGGGAGTTGCCAGGCATCCCATCCTGTCCTCCTTCTTTCAGGCCACCCTGGGACTGAGCAAGCACTGGGACCAGGGGTAAATTCATTTGGATTACTTGTTTTACATCATTTTGGGGCTTTCGTTATCTGTTTTTAAGTATCAAACACCTGTGTATCCCTCTATACAGAATTGAAATCCACCATATTGTCATAGTAGTTTCAGGTAATTTCACTTTAAAGAACCTAGAATATTACAGATAAAATTAAAGGTCCTTTTATTCTCCCATCTTTAGTAGTATTAAAAGTTCATGTATTGAATACTTAGGAATGATTAGAAAGGTAAATTTTATGTTATGTACATTTTATCACAATAAAAAAAAATTTAAAAACCCAAACAGTTCATTTAGGCCCAAGTCAGTTTGGGCACAGCTGGATAATCCCACTTTGGTAGCTAGTAGCCGAAGATCTGTGTTCTCCTCTCCTTGAGCTCCACGCTCCCAGGCTTTGGCAGAGGTTGTTAACTTGTCCCTTCCCCTCACCCACACACCAGTCCGTCAGCTTCCTCTGTTGTTTCACCTCTTGGTCATGTCCCCAATCCTCCACTGTCTCCATCCTGGGCCACACCAAGACCACTGCAGGAGGCTTCTGAGGGGTTCTCCCTGCTATCCTCTTAGGTCTCCTGCAGTCTGTTTGGAGTAATCCTTTGAAGATAAGAGCCCTTGTTCCTGTCCCCTACTCAAAGCTTCCCATCATACTTGGAATAAAACCCAACAAAGCCCTCCATGTTCCCCTTGAGGCCTCTTTACTGTCTGGAACCTTCCCCCTCCCCCCTGCCCCACAGCCACATGGCTTCCCCTTCCCTTCCTTTAGGTCTTGCTCTTTTCTCCCCTGATATCACCATGTGGGTTCTTTCTTCTTCATTATGTTCTAATTAGTTCATTCTTCTGAACACTCACCTGGTTGCAACTTTGCCCAATAGAGGGAACCCTTTCAGCCAGCACCTGTGTCCTCTTGACTCTGCCTATTAACTTCTAAGGGCTCCTGCTTTCTGCCTCCACAGGCTGCCTCAGAACCAGAACCACCCACTTTTCCCAGGGGACAGCCTGGTCTCCTTCCAGGGACACCAGGCATGTTCCCTGCCCCTTCATTGGCCTTAGAATATGTCCCACCATGGGTGTACAGAGCACTGTAGTCAAAAGTATTGGAAATAATTTTTTTCTCCGTGGTATGTTATCAGTTTGACATAATTATTCATTTGTTTCTGTTTGCATTCAGTGTAATAAGGTTTTATTACCTCATGTTTTCATTTTATTTTTGGTTATGTAAACTTTTACCTGATTCAGAAGTTGAAATTATGCTCTGGTGTACCCAGAGAGGCCTCAGCAGTTCAGTAGTTTTTGATGTGTGCTTCCTAAAGTCCCTTTGCTCACACAAAAGGCAGCTTACAATGTCCATTTTTTTACTTAATGGTAGATCCTGAGGCTCGCTTCTCGGTGGTTCGGGTTGCTCTCGATGGTGCAGGCATGTTTTTGTCTAGTCAGGCCAGGTCCCTGATGGCAGCCATCAGAGTTGTCCTGGGCTGGTAAAAACAATGCTGTGGAAATAACATCATCCTCTCTTGTTTTGCCTTTCGGGAGGTGTCTCTTCAGGGTAGGTTTCTAGAAGGGATTTCCCTAGATTGCATCAACACCCTTGATTGTATCTAAGAGGCATTCCTGGGTCATATGGCTTGTACTTGACTTCACGGTGGTAAAATTAGTTGGGGAATACAAATGAGAGTTCTGAAGGAGTCAGACCTGTTCCATTGGTGCAGTGTTTTTCTCTGACTCCGGTTCTGTCAAGGTTCCAGGAAGCAGCCCTGGACTTCAGCAGTGTGTGCCCCTATAGACTGTATGGAAGTGGTGATTCCAGTCTGTCCACCACTTTGCTGCTGGCAGAACTCCCTTTCTCCCTCTGTGATGGTGAGCCTTGGGCCACACCCAGCTTCCCAGAGTTTTTCTTCATTTTCTGCTGAGAAGCTAAGATGGGGGCGGGGGTAAGCTCTGCTAGAACAGGTTAGGGACCCGTGCTTTTAGAGCAGGAAAAGGTTTCCTGTGAGCCAAGGGCTGAATCTGGGTGACCCTGGCAGCCATACTGGGGACCCTAAACTTCTGGATGAAGATCCAGGTAACTCAAGGGTAAGCCTAAGGAGGGCTGGGACACACCCTCACCACTGTCTGTCTCCCCACACCCAGCCTGAGCTATTGAGGAAAAGTGTGTCCTCATGGCACCAAGTGAGTCCTGGTGCTAACCAGCCTTCTTCGGTGACTTACCCATGTCATTCGAGTCTGGTTGTGAGTGCACACCACAGTATCTTTATTGACATCTCCATGGTGTGCACAGGAAGGGAAATCACTTGGGACAGACCAGCCCCAGGACAGTGATCAGTGCAGACGTGAACTATATGGGACAGGACAGCTCTAGAGCTGAGATACAGAGCACAGGAATAGTCTTGCCCTTTTCCAGAATGAGCTGCTAGCTGAGGGACTAGCAGGTGGCTAATTCTGAACTCACAATTCATTCTAAGCCTCCCCTGGCCCCAGTTGTGTTCTTGCCCTCTTAGCCCGGTCATGAGAGCATCATAGACAGAACAGCATGTCCTAGGAGGTCCCAGGGTCCAGGGCCTCTCAGTGAGTATTTCTGAAGTATGCCAGGGAATCTACCAGATGGAACCAAAATATAGGGAAGAAGCTGCTCTGTCAGTGTGGAAGAATGGGGAAGTGCCTGCCCTGGAACAGGGAGGGTGCTCTGTCTGTCTTCTTTCTCCTACCAGCAAGGCCGTGCTGTTGTAAGGGAGCATCTCCTGATAGTGGCTAACCTGACCTGGGATCACTTTTTTTCTTATGCCACAATCCTGGGCAGTGGTTTCTGGTTGCCCAAGTTAGCCAGTATTTATATGGTGACTTTTCTTCCTCTGGGGTGTTAGTTCCCATTGTTCAGATGAGGAAACAGGCATAGGATGTTGAGGTCACTTGCTCAGGTTCGTATTTGGAAAGGGCAGAATCAGAATTGGAGCTCAAGTTGGCTGACTCCAAACCTATCCACTCTTTCTACAATGCTGCGCTGTGTGCCACCTCCCAAGGGGATTGTGTAGAGCTGTGTTCCTATTAGCAAGCTGTACTGTGCCCCACAGCAGTTCTTTGAGTACACATTTAAAAAACCCAAAATACAGAAGCTATAGTAACACTCAGGCCAGGCCTTTGTGAAGAGGAGCTCCACCCCCACTTTGGGCGGACAGCTTCCTCTCCAACAGTTGAGGGCCTCCTGTCAGCCCTCAGATGCAGCTCATAAAGTGGCCTCTGCCAAGGCAGCATACTGAAAAGCCACACAGTGTTCTACTCAGGAAAAAATGCCACCTGTGCAGGCCACTCACTCCTACACACTAGGAATGGGACTGGGGGTGGCCACAGTGCAAGTAGAGTATAGTTGGCCACCACCAGCAGCAGCCCAAAGCCCCTAAAGAAATCTGAAAGGAAGAATATCAAGACCTGGGTGAGCACTGGCAGAGCAGCCTGGCTCCCAGAGCGCAGCCTGTGCTGGGCATCCCCAAGCCTGCCGGTGCTTGCTTTTTCTGCAAACCGATGTGTCCTCTACTTACATACTTGTTTAATACTTCAGGGAAGAAAAGTCAGAAGACCAGGATCTCCAGGGCCTCAAGGACAAACCCCTGAAGTTTAAAAAGGTGAAGAAGGATAAGAAAGAAGACAAAGAGGGCAAGCATGAGCCCCTGCAGCCGTCAGCCCATCATTCTGCTGAGCCAGCAGAAGCAGGCAAAGCGGAGACCTCAGAAGGGTCAGGCTCAGCCCCAGCCGTCCCAGAAGCTTCTGCCTCCCCCAAACAGCGGCGGTCTATCATTCGTGACCGGGGACCCATGTACGATGACCCCACTCTGCCTGAAGGTTGGACCCGGAAGCTTAAGCAAAGGAAATCTGGCCGCTCCGCTGGGAAGTATGATGTGTATTTGATCAAGTAAGTAAGGGCAATTCCTCTATCTACAGAGCCAGGAGGCCTGAATATGTGGGAAGTCGGGGACAGGCACTGAAAACTAGTGGGGGTCCCTTGGAGTAGGAGCTCTTTGCTGCTAGTTAATCAGGAAAATGTGTGTGTGTGTGTGACCTTAACTGGGGTCAAAGTGGCTTCAATAATGAGTACCGCATGCAGGCATGACTAGGTATGGACAACTTAGGACAACTGTGTGCGGCAGTCACTTCCCTGAGTGAGGTGTGCACAGGGTAGCAGAGTGTGACTTTACCTTTCCAGGCCTTGAAGCCTCTTTTGGAGATGGAATAGCAGTAGGGCCTACCCAGGGTCACCATGAGAATGTCAGGAGCGGTCACTTGGGAAGCACTGAGGCCACAAGGTCTGCCACGCACAGTAACCTGGGCTCAGGAGGCAAGTGGAGCTCCCTGGGGGTCCTGCCATTTCCCAGCTAGAGACCATCCAGCTGAGGGGTTCTTTTCAGAACCTGTTAATAACCTCATCATCTTTCTGGGAGACTTGTTCTATGACACTGCTGGATGAACCAGAAGAATTAGTTCATAGGGCTCAGTCCACTCTGTGAATTGTGCTGAGAAAGGTGGGCTCTTGGACAGGGTCTCTGGGGAAAGGCACAAATGGATCCCATGTGCCTTTCCAACTGTCTCTTTTGCATTTGTCCATCTTCAGTTGGGGGCAGAGGTCACTGGGTGTTCTCTGTTGAAACAGTAACTGCCAAGCCTGAGCTTCAGAGAAGGAATGAATAAGTATATTTCAGGTCTGCCCCTTAGACAATCCCAAAAAGGTTAGCAGTTTTCAAAGGATATTCACAGCCTTGTTTGGCCTCAATGACTCTGAGAAGGATGAGCAAACCATTATCCTATTGACATATGAGAAAACTGATTCCCAGAGATGCTAAACAGCATGCCCAGATTTAGACAGAGGGTGTTCTACTGGCAGATCAGGCCCAGGCAACAGCCAGCACAATGGGCCCCGGCCTGATGTGATGGCTAGACAGGGTTCCAAGATCAGACCCCTTTGGGGGGCTAGAGGGAGTCTCAGTGGCAGGCAGGTCCTCAGGGGCATTCAAGTAACAGCTGTGGAGCAGCTAGCACTGAGCTGCTCTGGTACAGAAACAGGCCATGTAGGGCTCCTGCTCAGTAGCCTGATTACTTCATGTGTAGCTATGGACATGCCCTTCAAGTTTTAGCTTCTCTTGGCTTTTCTTAAATGTGACTGTGGTTCAGTAGTATCGTCAGGCGTATCACCTGCAGAACATTTTCTGTCAAAGTTCATCACCACCTTCTGCTCTGCCTCATCTCTGACACTGCTTTGGAAGCTTCTAATCATTTTTGTGTCTCTCCATTTGTTCCTACAGTCCCCAGGGAAAAGCCTTTCGATCTAAAGTGGAGTTGATTGCATACTTCGAAAAGGTAGGCGACACCTCCCTGGACCCTAATGATTTTGACTTCACGGTAACTGGGAGAGGGAGCCCCTCCCGGCGAGAGCAGAAACCACCTAAGAAGCCCAAATCTCCCAAAGCTCCAGGAACTGGCAGAGGTCGGGGACGCCCCAAAGGGAGCGGCACCACGAGACCCAAGGCAGCAGCATCAGAGGGCGTGCAGGTGAAAAGGGTCCTGGAGAAAAGTCCCGGGAAGCTGCTCGTCAAGATGCCTTTTCAAACTTCACCAGGGAGCAAGGCTGAAGGGGCTGGGGCCACCACATCAGCCCAAGTCATGGTTATCAAACGCCCTGGCAGGAAGCGAAAAGCCGAGGCCGACCCCCAGGCCATTCCCAAGAAACGGGGCCGAAAGCCAGGCAGTGTGGTGGCAGCTGCTGCTGCTGAGGCCAAGAAGAAAGCCGTGAAGGAATCATCCATTCGGTCTGTGCAAGAGACCGTGCTCCCCATTAAAAAGCGTAAGACCCGGGAGACAGTCAGCATCGAGGTGAAGGAGGTGGTGAAACCTCTGCTGGTGTCCACCCTTGGTGAAAAGAGTGGGAAGGGACTGAAGACCTGCAAGAGCCCTGGGCGGAAAAGTAAGGAGAGCAGCCCTAAGGGGCGCAGCAGCAGTGCCTCCTCACCCCCCAAGAAGGAGCACCACCACCACCACCACCACTCAGAGCCCCCGAAGGCACCCACACCGCTGCTCCCGCCCCCACCCCCGCCCCCACCTGAGCCCCAAAGCTCCGAGGACCCTGCCAGCCCCCCTGAGCCCCAGGACTTGAGCAGCAGCATCTGCAAAGAAGAGAAGATGCAGAGAGGAGGCTCGCTGGAGAGCGACGGCTGCCCCAAGGAGCCAACTAAGACTCAGCCTACGGTTGCGACCACCACCACGGCCGCAGAAAAGTACAAACACCGAGGGGAGGGAGAGCGCAAAGACATTGTTTCATCCTCCATGCCAAGGCCAAACAGAGAGGAGCCTGTGGACAGCCGGACGCCCGTGACCGAGAGAGTTAGCTGACTTTACACAGAGCGGATTGCAAAGCAAACCAACAAGAATAAAGGCAGCTGTTGTCTCTTCTCCTTATGGGTAGGGCTCTGACAAAGCTTCCCGATTAACTGAAATAAAAAATATTTTTTTTTCTTTCAGTAAACTTAGAGTTTCGTGGCTTCAGGGTGGGAGTAGTTGGAGCATTGGGGATGTTTTTCTTACCGACAAGCACAGTCAGGTTGAAGACCTAACCAGGGCCAGAAGTAGCTTTGCACTTTTCTAAACTAGGCTCCTTCAACAAGGCTTGCTGCAGATACTACTGACCAGACAAGCTGTTGACCAGGCTTCTTAGGGTACGCCTGCACCTCCCCTCCCACCCAGACCTCCCCCTGTGTGGTCATTAAGGACAGAGGGCACTTGAGAGGACACTCCCATTTTCGGTGCCATTGGTGCCCCAGTCTCAGCTCTCCTCCCCCAACCCTGCCCCTACCTTCCCTATCTCCCCAATCCCACCCTCGTTGGGACAAGGAGGTGTGAGGCAGGAGAGACAGTTGGATTCTTTAACGAAGAAGACAGAGATGGCCAGTGGCTACAGCCTGTGTGATCCCACCGTGGTGGCACAAACCTGGCCCCACTCCAGCCCCAATCCAAAACAAACAAGGACATTTCACAGGACAGGGAAGTAGCACCTGTTCACTCCAGTTCTGGCATGGCTCAGAAGGAGTCGTCCTTTGAACTGCTGGGTGTAGACTGGCCTGAGCCAGAAGAGAGGATGGCCCAGGGCCGGCCTCCAGTGGATGGCACTAGAAAGAGGCCATGAGGCAGCAGGACGAGGCACAGGCAGGCTGGCCCGGCCTCGGACCGGCAGAGCGTAGCGGGGCAGGAGGGACTCCTAGTCACTCAGAGCAGTCCGTGACTGGCAGAGGCTCACTGGGGCGGAGGCCAAGGGGAAGGAGGGGAGAATGTTCTTCCAAAACTTTCCAATTCTACTCCTTAGGGACAGCTTAGAACTATTTGCACTATTGAGTCTTCATGTTCCCACTTCAAAACAAACGTGCTCTGAGAGCAAACTGGCTTGAATTGGTGACACTTTGTCCCTCAAGCCACCAGACATGATGGTGTTTAGAACTGCCTGGATCTGTAGATACCTGCGCTTGTTTTAAAGTGGGCTCAGCACATAGGGTTCCCACGAAGCTCCGAAACTCTAAGTGTTTGCTGCAATTTTATAAGGACTTCCTGATTGCTTTGTCTTCTCTCCTTCCATTTCCACCTTCTGTCATTTCATTCTTTCATTTCTTCCTCATTCACCCCTTCTGTTCCAAGCAGCCGCAGTGCCCGACTATACCCTGAACAGATTCTGGTTAGCTCGTGTCCCCAGGACTCACCCTGCACTTGGCATTCCCGCCACCAACCCCAGCCCACCGTCACCCCATTTTCAGCCCTGAGGAAGCCCCGGGCCCTGCCAAGTCCACCTGACCCTAGCACCTCAGCCTCTCTGAAGGGCAAGAGATTAGCAAGGTCTCACTCTCCTAGGTCAGAGCCTAGGCACTGAGCCTCCTCAGCCTTCCACTCGAGAAAAGTAGGTGGGAAAAATCAGGCCAGATTTGGATTTGGGAGTTGGGAGGACAGAGGCCCCCATGGTCTGCCACAGTCACTGAGCAGCCCAGCCCTGACCTTGGCCTCTGCCAGGCCTGACTACCACAGTGCAGTGTGGCAGGGCACAGACATAACAAATGCAGATGCCCCCCAGACCTGAGCTGGGACCAGTGCCTAGGGCTCCCCCTTCTCTGCCCACCCAGGCTCCTCCACTAACCACGAGTTCTTTCCTAATGGAAAACCTTTGGCTTTTGCTTGCTGGAGACTGGGTAGGGCCAGTGTAGCACACATTTTCACATCTACACCAGGGCTGTGGTGTAGGGGCTTAGAGGCTTGGGTTTGCTGTGGGATCCCATCCTTTCAACCTCTCTGTTCAGGAAGTCCTTATCTAGCTGCATATCTTCATCATATTGGTATATCCTTTTCTGTGTTTACAGAGATGTCTCTTATATCTAAATCTGTCCAACTGAGAAGTACCTTATCAAAGTAGCAAATGAGACAGCAGTCTTATGCTTCCAGAAACACCCACAAGCACGTCCCATGTGAGCTGCTGCCATGAACTGTCAAGTGCGTGTTGTCTTGTGTATTTCAGTTATTGTCCCCTGGCTTCCTTACTGCGGTGTAACCATGAAGGAGTGAAACATCCTAGAAACTGTCTAGCACTTCCTTGCCAGTCCTTAGTGATCAGGAACCATAGTTGACAGTTCCGATCAGTAGCTTAAGAAAAAAACCGTGTCTGTCTCTTCCAGAATGGTTAGAAGCAAGGGAGTTTGCCCCATTCTGTTTGTAGAGTCATAGTTGGCCTTTCTAGCATTTTTGTATCCATTTCCTTATGCTGCAAAAGCAAGTCCCACAACCAGCCCCACGCTGCTGTCAACCCTCCAGGCTTCACTTCTTACTCCTCCCCAGGAAGGGAAGGGGGTTGGGGGAGGGGCGAGTCCCTCGGGACCCCTCTTCCTCCAAGGACAAAAGGCTCCTGCCCCCACAGTGGCCTTGCACTCCTGGCACCCCCAAAGACGCCTAGCCATGTGAGCGTGGCATCCGGCCAGTTTGTCATGGAGACATTGTCCATTTTAATTGGTCATGTTTTTGTGTTATACCTAGTCCAGTGAAATGTGGCTCCTAGGACCAATGTCAGGAGCTGGCTGGCCTCCCCATCAGCTCAGTACCATCTGGTCCTGGGAAGAGGAGTGCGGGGCCCATCAGGCCCGCCTTTCACCCATGACAGTTTATTTAGGGGCTGACTGGGCATTGGCAGTCAAGAACACAGCATGTGAAGGATTGTTTTCTTTCTGTCCCACCCAACCTGCAGTCCCGCAGCTCCCTAGCTTCCTCCCCTAGAGTTCCAGAGCTGCAGGCAGTGCCTGAGGCTCCTTAGGGTTCTCTCTCCTCCTTTCTTCCACATTCCCTCCTTTTTCCCAAATAAAGTCATCACGAATGAGTCACCTTTAAGCAGGCTGCCTTGGTGGTTTGTCACCCTTGGCGGGCAGGGGCCCTGAAGCTTCCATGCCATCCCTGTTCCTGGAGTCAGGTTGACAGGAGGTTGGAGGCAAAACATAAGCCCTGGAATTCTCGCCAGCTGTGTCCAGCCCAGATTGGGGTGTGACCTTGATTGTGTGTGTACTTGAACACAGCGAGGGTTGGGAGGCATCTTTTAGGGACTGTGAAGAATACAGGAATTGACTGACAGCTTTCAGATCCCCATGGGTCTAGGTCACAGTCATGTTTGTCATCCTTCCCTTCATTGTAGTTGTTGGTTACTACCCCCTTTCTTGATAGAATTCTGTACCTCCTCGAGCTCCTCGCACCATGCCCAGCCCAGCCGTGCCCTACCTGTCCGCCCATTGGTGGGCTTGTCCTTACCAGTAGAATCGCCGGCTTTGACACTTCAGTGAACTGGGGAACTAGGCCACAACCAGACTCTAGTCTAGCTCCCTTCTGCTGGCATAGGAAACACCTAGAAACACCACATCCCCAGTCCATCATTGCCAAACTAGCCAAGGACTCAAGCCTCAGCTCCCTGCAAAGTGAAAGTCGTGGAGGCCTGGGGGTGTTGGCCATAGCCAGCATATGGTTTTTACTAAGAACTCGTGCAGGTGTGGGCAACAGTCTGTTCAGTAGCATCATTCCAGGCTAGAGGCCAAGAACAGTGGCAGACCTGCAACAGTCCCAAGTTGTTGCCTGTTCTTCTGCCCAGCTTGTCATTGCTGTGATAGTCATCATGAAAGGGTACTAGCCAGAAACAAACTTCCATATTTGGTGGGAGTTTCCTTAGCTGACAGGCCCTTTGGATTTTAAGTAACTCTTAATAAGCAGCTCAAGCCCAGGAGGGAGCAAAGGTTATGAACTCACCAGGGGCCATCTGGATCTTGTGGAGCATTCCCGCTCGGCTCTCTGGACCGACGGGGCCAGGAGAGGTCACAGGTACTGGTTCTTGGAGACCTTTGTGCATCCATCCATTTCTAGCTGGTGGTGTTGCCCTGAATTGCTTCCTGATGCAAGTTTCACGCACGGAGCCTAAGACCAATGGCCCAGACTTTGGGAAGCAAGTCGTCTAGAGCCTTACGAGTGTTTGCCTAGCCAGTCCCCCAAGTGCCAGCCACTGGCACATAGGCAAGGCACAGCAGCATCACCAGGCCTATGGTTGAGCCCCTTCCCCCATGCCCCTGCTCTGTTGGATTCCCCAGTCTTCCTCTGCTTCCTGCAAGGGTCCATCTTTGCTCTTTGTCAGTTAGCCCGTCCACACTGGAGGGGTTTGTTGAGTCTCCATTTTAGTGTCTTTCTCTTTTAGATCAATCTTTAGAAAAGGCCTAATTGTTATAAATCATTAGGATACTGCCTCCCCCAGGGTCTCAAGTTACATATTAAAGAGGAAAAAAGTGAACACTGAAACCTGCTCTCAACAATTCAGAAGGAAAACCTAGAAAATATTTGTCAAAAAATTATATTTTAATGTCTCTGAACGAATAAGAGCAAGCTTTTGCAAAAATTCTGATCTAAAAATACTTGGAGCCTACCCTGATGTTTGGTGAGTGCTGCAGGCGAAGGCGCTTCCAGTCTGAAGCTGCTGGATCTGAGACTCAGGGCCATCCCGTCATTGGAGAGCCCATATCTCCTTGGGTAGCAGTCCCTGAGGACTTAGCTGCCACCTCTGTCCTCTGGGGCAGCCTGGAGGTTAGTGGCCCACCTGGTCCCAGAGCAGCAGGAGCCCAGCTCTTGGCATGGGAAGCTAAATGGTCACCAGGGACTTGCAAAGGCCTGCATCATTCTCACTCCCCAGCACCACCTGTTTCTTGCTCCATTCTCATCTCTGCAGAACCTACCCAGAGCTCTGATTTGTCAGGAAAAAAAATGAGTTCTAACTAGGAATGAGAGGGTAATGTCTTCCCCTTGGCCTCTGCCTGTGGCATAGCCTGTCCCCTGAGGGCATTCCCCTACTCCACTCTCCTTGGGGTCTAGGGCCTGGTGAAACAGCACTCCCTTCTGAAATCGGAGGTGAAGACAGAGGCCTGAGCACTCACTGTGGCATGTGCCCCACTCGCCCCGCACCCTTTAGAGCCCCTGGGGCCACCCTTATAGCCCCTGGGGCCCAGGGAAGGTGGGCATCAGGATAGGTGCCCCCACCCCCAGCAGAGCTGAGCATTTGAGAAACTTGCAAATTGTCTTTGCTTCTCTAGCTCCCCCTTCTAGCTTACATTTTCTCAGGTCCTGCTCCGCAGCAAGAGAAAATAAGATGAAAAGGCCAAGAGGTTTGCCTCCTGCCCACTGGTAGTTCCTCTCCCCACAGTGTTTGTGTATCAAGTGACAAAGCTGTTTTTCCTGGTGACCCTGATTATATCCAGTATCTTATAGACTATATGCATAGGCCTGCTTGGTCTCCTCTGTCCAGGGCTTTTGTTTTGCTTTTAGTTTTGCTTTTAGTTTTTCTGTCCCTTTTATTTAATGCACCAACTAGACACACAAAGCAGTTGAATTTTTATATATATATCTGTATATTGCACAATTATAAACTCATTTTGCTTGTGGCTCCACACACAAAAAAAGACCTGTTAAAATTATACCTGTTGCTTAATTACAATATTTCTGATAACCGTAGCATAGGACAAGGGAAAATAAAAACAAAAACAAACAAAAAAAACGACAAATCTGTCTGCTGGTCACTTCTTCTGTCCAAGCAGATTCGTGGTCTTTCCTCGCTTCTTTCAAGGGCTTCCCCGTGCCAAGCTAAGGAGGCTCCAGGCAGCACCCGGGTTTCGCACTGTTTCTCCAGTGCTTGTGAGAGAGGTCCCAGGATGCTGGTTCAGAACAGTTCACCTCAACGGGTACGTGCGCGAGCGCTCCCTTGCCCTGGCAAAGTCTGGAATGTAGTTGGCACCTCCTGGTCCCCTTTCACCTCTGGGTGGGGCAGCTGGAATCCACGGGGGTGGCCTGATTCCCCACCCCTTCCAGTGACCTGGTCAGAGTGGTCATGCATGGAGAGTCAGCTCAGCAGGCCTCTCCACCAGTAGTGCTCCTGCTTTGCCGAGTCCAGGGGCTGGAGGGAAGATGGGGAGTCTATCATGTCTCTGCATGAGCAGCACCAGGTAGAATGCCAGGAACCCCAGAACCACATACCAGAGTCCAGTCCCCTCTAGGAGGTAGCGAAGACTCCAGAAATGTACCTTTCTCTTCTCCCATATCCTGTGAGTAATTGCATTTGCTTTTGTAATTCTTAACGAGCAATATCTGCTAGAGAGTTTAGCTGTAACAATTCTTTTTGATCGTTTTTTAAAGTAATTAAAAACACCAAAAAAAAATCCAGAAACTTGTTCTTCCAAAGCAGAGAGCATTATAATCACCAGGGCCAAAAGCTTCCCTTCCTATATCAATACTTCTGAGGCCTGAATCCAAAAGAGAAACACTCACAGATCCTTTGGGTGGCTGGGCTGCCTTCGGGCCCCTCGGAGGACCTGATCTGGAGCCCACTCCAGCCGGCATTCAGTATTAGCAGTGGATCATGATGTCCTTGCCCATCCAGCCTGGGATGGGGCCAAGGAGGAGAGGAGGCCATTGTCATTGATGCTTGGCCACTAACAGGTGGGTGTCTGCATGTGTCCACCTGCATGCTTTCTGGCGGAAATGTGAAATCAGCACCTGAGTTAGGCTCACCCAGTGACCTCTCGCCCCACTGGGCTGGAGCAAGGCCCGCCCAGTTCAGTGTTTCTGGGGAGCTGGACAGTGGAGTTCAAAAGGCTTGCAGAACTTGAAGCCTGCTCCTTCCTTTGCTACCAAGGCCTCCTTTTCTGTTTGATTTGTCACTGCTTCAATCAATAACAGCCGCTCCAGAGTCAGTAGTTGATGAATATATGACCAAATATCACCAGGACTGTTACTCAATGTGTGCCGAGCCCTTTCCTCGTGCTGGGCTCCTGTGTACCCGGACACTGTAATGTGTGCTGTGTTAGCTCTCCCCACCTCTCCCTCTCACCCTCCCCTCGTTTTTCTGGGGGTTTTCTGTTTGGGTTTGGTTTGGTTTTTATTTCCCCTTTTGTGTTCCAAACATGAGGTTCTCTCTACTGGTCCTCTTAACTGTAGTGTTGAGGCTTATATTTGTGTAATTGGTGGGTGAAAGGAACTTTGCTAAGTAAATCTCTTCTGTGTTTGAACTGAAGTTTGTATTGTAACCATGTTTAAAGTAATTGTTCCAGAGACAAATGCTTCTAGACACCTTTTCTTTACAAACAAAAGAATTCGGAGGGAGGGGATGGTGACTGAGATGAGAGGGGCTGTCCTATTTCCCCAGGAGGGAAGACCCAAAGAGATGACCCCTTCTCAGATCAGCCAGAAGCTACCCAAGAAGTTAAACCTAAGCCAACAGACCGAATAGCTGATGTGTTGCTATTTTCAAAGTCAGAGCAAAACCAGATCTTGTTCCACCCAGTGGATTCTTTTACCTTTCCCCCCCCCTGAGATTATTAGCATTGTTATTTTTAAGGACAGACGAAGTTTATGTTCCTGCGAGGGGAGCCAGGAGGGGTTTGAGCAGGGCCAACCTGGGGTGGGTCTGAACTGAGTGGCTCGAAGGAAAGACAGGCATCTCTTCGGAGATCTCCACTATGGCCACGGGTCAGGTATATGTTGACAGGGCAGATTGGCCACTCTTCACCTAATGCAGCTCTTTCTAGACAGGCCAGGCAGTGGGCGTTACTGTTTAGGACACCTCCATCATATGCCACCCCTTACCTCAGTGCACGACACTAATGTGACCTCTCAATTCCCGCCATCCCAGGCGATAAGATGATGGTGGGGTGGGAGGGTGCACTCTCCTTGCTGCAATCCGATTCCCAGAAAAATGGATGTGAGAACCCCCCTTCCCTTTCCATGGCAAAACCAGATCCTTCTCACAGAAGCCGTTACCCCCACCAGACATTGTTTTGGGTTCACAGAACAGGGACAGATGTGTGCTCCCTTAGCGCCTGGCAGCCCTTCCTCTGAAAGGCGAGGACAGTGCTGATTGTAGTGACCGTTTGTTTGCACATGGTGTTTAGTAGCAGGAAGGACCAGGCAGGGTGGCTGCCCCCTCCTGAGTTGCAGTGACACAGGCCAGCCACCCTGTGCTGAGGGAAGCCCTGCCGAGGGTGGGAGAAGGGGAGTTGCCCAGATCAGACTTGGCTGGAGATGTCTTGAAAAGCCCTCTATTACATTCACCTTCAGTTTTTGTGTTTTGGGACAATTACTTTAGGAAATAAGTAGGTCGTTTTAAAAACAAAAAAAAAATATTGATTGCTTTTTTGTAGTGTTCAAAAAAAGGTTCTTTGTGTATAGCCAAATGACTGAAAGCACTGATATATTTAAAAACAAAAGGCAATTTATTAAGGAAATTTGTACCATTTCAGTAAACCTGTCTGAATGTACCTGTATACGTTTCAAAAACACCCCCCACTGAATCCCTGTAACCTATTTATTATATAAAGAGTTTGCCTTATAAATTTACATAAAAATGTCCGTTTGTGTCTTTTGTTGTAAAATCAAGTGATTTTTTCATAAGGTTCTTTTACTATTTGAAAAGATGGGCAGCACGCAGTTTTATTTTATTTTTGTAAGTTTTTTAATACATGTGAAAGCAAAGACTACTCAGCATGCCTTTCTAAGTGACGCGTTTGCACCTTTTGTTGGGAAGTACTGTATCCTTTGCTGTTAGCATTCTCGATAAATCTCTCTGTGAAAGTGACTCAAGGTCTGGGCTTTCATTATCTGACAGCTCACAGGACAGCATGGTGGTGTGTTTCCTGATTCGGTCTGGCTGTCCCTGAACACAGAGGAGAACTAGCCACTTTCAGGACTGCTGTGAGAGGAAAGGGCACCCTCTCTATACACTGCATTCCCTTGGGTGCCCCAAGGTCACACTTTCCAGGCACGCTGCTTCTGCGTGTGTGAGGGAACTCAGTGGCAGGCTAGGAAGGGCCCGGCACAAATCAGCCCACTGTGCCGTAGGTCCAGAGGCAGGTGGGCTTCAGGCCTTCTGCACAACAGCACAACTTCCCTGTTCCTGAGGGCCGTGGTAGGGGCACCTTTACCATCTAGATGTACCAAGGCAGTTTTGCAAAGATGCCCCCACCCCGCAGCTCTAACTCCTTTTGTGTGGAGCAACAGGAGCATCTGAGCACCTGTGACCCTCCCATGGCCTCTGCTGAACTGGATCCCTGCCCAAAGCGGAAGCTGTTATCACTCTGGTTTGCTAGTGTCATACCCTGACTGTCCTTGGCTTCCACGGAAGTCTATGGGCTCTCAGGAGTGACCTGCCCTGCCACAGCCATTCTCAGCAGGCTGTTGCTGGGCTGGAGGGGACAACAACTGCTCATTGTCCTGCTTCATATGCAAATGTGGACATACCTGTTAGATGGTGTACTCAAAAGTCCTGGACTTGAACGTTAATACAAAGGGTTCAAATTCAGCTTGTGTGTACTGAGCATCTCTTGTGTGCCAGGCCTGTCTTAGGGTGCTGCAGTCTAGCAGTGAGCAGGTAGGACCAAGTGCCTGTGCCCTTAGAGCTAGATGTGTGCGTGCATAATTTCCCATACTCAGGGTGTGGCTGGCCGCCTTTTAGGGAGTGGTTGTGGCTTCTGGGAAGAGGTTCCAATGGAGGCCCATATTTGGGCAGACCCTGTTTATAGAAACAGCCCTAAGTCCCTGGGAGGACAGTCTGGGGGGAGGAGTCCTCTGGGGTCAGGACAGAAAGGACAAGGGGGGTGGTAAGGGAAGGAGACCTGTTGCCTTGCAAGTATGCATCTAGCTGGAGAAACAAGAGAGGAAGGCACCTGATGCTGCTTGTGGGCTCTTCCCCCCACAGTGGGGGAGGCTCAAGAAGGATGTGCCACAGATGCCAGGACATCGGGCAGCAGGCAGCTCTGCCAGAGGGGCCTAGGAAGCCTTTACTCTAGCTTCCACCTGGGGAGCTGTTTTAGCTCAACCTTGTTGCATGAGGGACAGGAAAGTGCAAACTCGTGGATTTGGAAGCCCTGGCTCATTCTAAGAACCCTAAGGAGTTCTGCATGGTTTAAGGCTGCTGATGTATGCCGGGAACTAGACATGGGGTAGAAGGGCGGGGGCCACATCGTGACAGCCGTGAAGACTGCATTGAAGAGCTGGGACCCATCAGAGGGCTCCAGAAAGCACAGGAAGGTCTTAAGCGAGAAAGCTATGTGGCTTGACCTGTGTGTGCCTGAGGAAGAGTACCTGGGCAGAGATGGGGCAGAGAAGCGGTCAGGAAGCCCGTGCATTCATCCAGGTAAGAGATAGTAGTGAGGGCAGTGGGCTGGTGGGGAGGAGATGGACTACAGAGATGTTCAGGGAGACAACAGGAAAACAGGCTGCTGATATGGGGTAGGAGAACAGAGGCTGCCGGGCATTGTGGGAATGGGCATGAGAGACAAATAGGGCCAAGACCTCAAACAGGCTGGGCACTGAGCTTGGTGCCTGTCCACTGCTTCAGAAAAAGAGGGTAGGAGAAGCTGTGCTTACAGGAGGGAGTGCAAACTGAGCCAGAAGCGTAAAGAGGGAGGTGGGACAGCAGGAGCCGAAATCCTGTTTTTAAGAGAGAAACGCAGTTCACATGCTAGTGAGAAGGATCCAGCAAAGAAGGAAAAGGGGAAGACATTGCTCAGAGGTAATAGTTGCTGGTGCAGTTTCCTGAAGGAGTGAAAAAGATGGGATCCAGAGCACAGGAAGTGGGCGAAAACTGAGCTGGAGCGGGCTGCTGTACAAGTTTCTAGACCGTTCACGCAGGCCGCCTGACGGGCGTCAGCCGAAGGGCCTTTGTGTAGGTAGCCCACAGCTGACCCTGTCCTGCCCGCATCTCTGACGACTCTTCCACTGCCTTCCAAATAAAGCCAAAACATCTCAAGGGGACCTCCCTGTGACTGCCGCAGGACCCAACTTCAGCCCTTTCTGGAACGCCCCATGCCTTCACCATAGCCTGCGTCCTCAGTGCTGGGAACCGCTCTCCTCCGTCCTTCAGACCCCCAGTCGGACGGCCCCTCCTCCTAGAAGCCTGCCCTGCCCGCCTGGCCCAGCGCAGTGACGCTGCCTTCGCGGTAGGGACTGCGTGCAGCGCCCCCGTGTGGCAGAGGGCCGCAGCGGCGGCCGCGGCAGCCAAGATGGTGGAGTACCGGGCACCGCCCCTTCCGCCCAAGCGGGCGTCACACGAGGCTGGCTTAAAGGGGAAGTGAGTCAGTGTCCGCCGACCTGGCCGGCCGAGGCCCCAAGAGGCCCCGGCCCGGTGGCGCCTTCGGCGGCCATGGCTGGGGGCCCGGGCCCTGGGGACCCCGCGGCCCCCGGCGCCCAACACTTCTTGTATGAGGTGCCACCCTGGGTCATGTGCCGCTTCTACAAAGTGATGGACGCCCTGGAGCCCAGCGACTGGTGCCAGTTTGGTAGGTAGCGGCAGGCCTGGCTGGGGAGGGGCCGATAGTACGCGGGCCAGGTGCTCAGGGCTGACGCCCCCTGCCCCGCAGCCGCCCTTATTGTGCGTGACCAGACTGAGCTGCGGCTGTGTGAACGCTCCGGGCAGCGCACCGCCAGCGTCCTGTGGCCCTGGATCAACAGAAATGCCCGCGTGGCCGACCTCGTGCACATCCTCACGCACCTGCAGCTGCTCCGCGCCAGGGACATCATCTTGGCCTGTGAGCGTACAGCCCTGGGACCTGGGACACCCACCCTCACCAGCAGGAGGCCTCCCACAGGGCTCCTCCCCCTGCCAGGGCCTAAACATCCTTTCCTTCCTTAACGTCCCAGGGCAACCTCCCGTCCCCCTCCCACCCTCCAGCACCACCAACCCGAGAACCAGCGGCATCTCTGAACTCCCTGAAGCCAAGGCCCCTAGCCCCCGGAAGTCTCCGTCACCAGCTTCTACCCTCCTTTCTCCAGGTAAGAGAGCTCTGGTGTTGGGCTTGGTGGACCTGAGGAAAAGGCCACTTTGACCATGGCCATGGCTGTAGACCCTGCCGCTGGTCTCAGCCTGACCCTCACTGGTGTCTTTGTGAAGGTGTTCCCGGCTCCCAGACCCATTCTGGGCCTGAGTACAGCCCTGTCCCAAGCCCTGCTGCCCTACAGCCACCACCACCATCTCTAGCCTTTCCTTCTACCAAGGTAGGTGGGTCCTGCCCCTGGGAAGGTTCCAGACAAGAAATAAGAAACCAAACCCAGGGAGCCCCAGCCCACCCAGCGAGGTCAGCTGGGAGGCAGCTGGGGTGGGGGGAGCTTGTGGCCAGGGCTGAGGGGAAGAGACAGGACCTCACCTGGTTGGGATCTCTTTCCACAGCAGAGCCTAGAGAATCCGGTGTCCTTTCTACAAGGGACCCACCCCTCTCCATTCTGCTGGCCCCTCCATGAGATTTCCCAGGGCACCCACAACTTCTCAGAAGAGTTGAAGATCGGGGAGGGCGGCTTTGGATGTGTGTACCGGGCTGTACTGAGAAACACGGTGTATGCTGTGAAGAAACTGAAGGAGGTGAGTATAGTAGCATCCTGATGAGGGTCCTGGAAGGCGGACAGCAGACCATGACCTTTCTGGTCTTCCCACACAGCTCCTTCAGCTCTCTGATCCCCAGCTCAAGGTCCCCAGCCCCTTGGTTGTTCTGGGCCCAGGACAGATGGCGCTGGGAGTGGCCATCAAGCCTTGGCTGCAAGAGCCTCACGCTGCCCCCCCCCGCCCATTTTCCCTGGGGGCTACAGGAGGCAGACCTGGAGTGGACCACTGTGAAGCAGAGCTTCCTGACTGAAGTGGAGCAGCTGTCACGGTGAGCCTTGGGCGTCCCTCAAGGACCTAACACCATTTGGGGCCTAGCTCCCTCGGACCGAAGCCTGCCAGGGGCAGCCTAGCTGAGGGGCCAGCAGGGACTGCTCACCCCTGCAACAGCAAGACGGAAAGTGCAGTGGAGGCTGGGGGCCGGAGCACTTAGGCCTTACTTTCCCAAGCAGGTTTCGTCACCCAAACATCGTGGACTTTGCTGGCTACTGTGCTCAGAGTGGCTACTACTGCCTTGTGTACGGCTTCCTGCCCAACGGCTCCCTGGAAGACCGCCTCCACTTCCAGGTAGTCTTACCTGGCCTGCCATGCTTCCCCAGACCTGCAGTGTCTGGGTGGAGTGGGGCAGGAGCCTGGCTTTCGGCCTCCGTGAGTGGGTCCCACTGGCAGGCAGGGCCTGGGCTCAGGGTTCAGCCCAAGGTGGGTCACCATTTTCCATGGCCTCTCCCTAGCTGTTCCTGCATGCCCGGGAGCCTGGGCCATGGTGCCTCTAAAAAAGGGCTTACTGACTCACAGTAACCTGGTACAGGTTTCTCCCCTTTGCAAGCTGAGTAGCCGAAGGGTCTTGTTACTATTGCCCTTGAGGAAAGGCAGCAGTGGCAGCAGGCTGCGCTCTCTGGACCCACAGTTGGGCACCATCTAGTGAGGCTCCCAAAGACACAAGGGTGAACTGCACATCGTGTTGGGAGAAGAAGTGGGGAGAAAGCCTCCAATGATGTTCTGATCACCCTGGGGCAAATGAATGAACTTCAGGAACTGAGGACCACCAAATTCTACGATAAGTCCAAAAAGCATGTTCTTAGCCATTTTCCCAGCATGCCTTATGAAGCCATGGGAATAATTTAGTCTTGATTCTCTTGTGAACTAGCTCATGGAGATTTCACTCCTCATTTTCCAGAAGGGGAAACTAAGGCCTAGAGAGTGAAGTTCTTGTCCAGATCTCATGGTGACAGGAGGAGGGAGGGTTGGAGTCAAGGAACAGTGGCCCCCAGACTCCCCCGTGTCCTTTTGCTCCCTCTGCTGCTCCAGACCCAGGCCTGTTCTCTCGCCTGGCCTCAACGCCTGGACATCCTTTTGGGCACAGCTCGAGCAATTCAGTTTTTACATCAGGACAGCCCCAGCCTCATCCATGGAGATGTCAAGAGGTAAGGACAGGACACGGCCCGGCCTCTGAGTCCCCTGAGAGCTGCAGGAGTAGAATCTATGGCAAGGCAACGATGCTCCCAAACTTTCTACCAGCAGGGAGTCTGGTCCAGAGGAACCCCATCCTGAGTGTCCCTCATGAGAACAGGCCTGCCCTCTCCTGTTCAAGGCAGAGGCTGGGGACAGGGTGCAGCCCTAAGGCCTGGGCCATGAGAGCTGGAACCCAGGGTCACTGAGTACCTAGCATGGGACAGGTGTGGAAGCAGAGGCCAAGAACAGGCCCCACTGATATGTAGGTGCGTGGGTGCTCTGGGCGCTGCTTGCAGCCTCTGGAGTGGCTGGACTGTTCTAACCATACCAACCACTTTCTGTAGGCAGGGTGCAGTTTGGTGGCTCCAGGTCCAATTACATCAGGGCAAGGCAGTGTGGGAGGGGGCAGAGTGATCTGGGGCCAGGACTGGGCTGACATCCTTACCTTCTCCCCTAAGTTCCAACGTCCTTCTGGATGATAGACTGATGCCCAAACTAGGAGACTTTGGCCTGGCCCGTCTCAGCCGTTTTGCAGCAGCCAACCCTGGTCAAAGCAGCACCGTGGCCCGGACTCGGACGGTGCGCGGCACCCTGGCCTACCTGCCCGAAGAGTACATCAAGACTGGGAGGCTGGCCGTGGACACAGATACCTTCAGCTTTGGTGTGGTGAGCCACCGCCTCCTCTGCTGGCTGGAGGGGTGGAGAGCTGTGGCCAGGCCAGGACAGGAGGGCCTGGAGAATTCCATGTGGAGCCAGAGGCCAACCTGGCAGGAAGCTAATGGAGTTGTAGCTACAAGCTCCTCCCTCCCTGGGATAGGCCCCTTCCTTGGCCCTGCACCATATTTGATGTATGTCATTTTGCATTCTTGCTCTTCAAGTTGGTGCTCCAAACTGCCAGACTTCTGCCCCATGACATCTGGCTCTGTCCCTGCAGGGAGCCGATCCTGAGCTGCCTGTCCAAGGGCCAGGCCACTCCATCTACCCCACAAGCCACCTCTGCTTGCTCCCCTCCCCACCAAGGTTTGGGACAGCACCATCCCAGAAGCCACTGCTGTTCTCCATCTTGTTCTCTCTCCAGGTAATTCTGGAGACCCTGACTGGCCAGAGGGCTGTGAGGACGCATGGTGACAAGACCAAGTATCTGGTGAGCCTCCTGAGGCAGGGCAGGGAGAGGGGGGTCAGGGAGGTGTTGCTCCTGGCAACCAACAGGTGCAGCCTTGGAGAGTGGGTCTGGAAGCCAGCACCCCACAGAAACGAGCCTTTACTGCTGCTGACTCATCATTGAAAGTAGACAGGGCCCCAAACAGCTTCCTTTACCTTGCCGAGGAGAAACCTGTCTTTTTTTTGTAGATGCACCAGGCCTTTCCAGACCCCACCTGGGCTGGGAGGAGGGAAGGGGTGTCTCAGCAGGGTAGCCCCAGTGCTCTGGGACCAGAAGCTACAGTGAAAAACAGAGCGCGGGAGCCTGAGAGAGGCTGTGGCAAAGAATTGGGCAGACTCTGAGAAGCCTTCTTCTGGTCCCCACCGGGCACACTGCAGACAGACACTCCCTGTTGTGGAGGCAGGTCTGAGCTGCCCCCACCCCTGGATCCATGCTTCCTGTCTGCCTCCCCAGGGACTGGGGCAGGGCCAGGAGAAAAGCCCTGAGTTCTAGTTCCAGCTTGATGGCGGTGGTCTTGGAGCAAATCCCTGCATTTGCTGGGCCCCTTGCCCCGTGTGGAAACAGACACAACACCCGTGCTGCACTTAGATGCTTTCTGGGCCCAGAAGATGCTCGGTCAACCTTTGCTCTTCCCATTTTACCAACTGGTATACCTGCATCCACTTTGGCTCCTGGCTTGGGGTTGTTTCTGTCCACTACTGGGTCTGGGCCAGGAACCAGGGAGCCAGACAGGAACCTAACCTGCCTTCCTTCCCCTTCCACACCCATCAGCATATCCAACTGGGGCTATTCTCCATCACTGCCCCGGACTCCTGGGGGCTTCTTCTTTGGTCGTCTTTGCACCCTTCCCATTTGTTCTCTGTGCTGTGGCCAAACTAATCTTTCAACACTGTCAAAAGATCATGGAAACCTCTTTGCTTTCCCACTGTGTTTGGCGTGAAGGCCCGACGCCTGAATGTAGCCTCAGTTCCCCGGGTCTGGCCACCACCAGCCTGCTGCCTGTCCTCGGGGCTCCCTGCTGCCTGTCCTGGGACCTGCAAAGCCACCCCTCACTCAGGAGCTTCCTCCTGGTCTCATCTCAGAGCTCAAGGAGGCCTCCAGTCCTGTTTCTGACCTCAGGTGTCTCTCCGTGGTACACTCCCATTCTTGGTTCCGCCCTCTCTGGTCAATTCATGCTTTCAGATCCCCAGCTCAGGTACCGCTTACTCACGGGCCGCCACCCATTTCCCACTCCTTTTATAGGCTTGTCAGTGTTTCCTCTAGGGAGCTCACTCTCTGAAAGTGGGCACTGGCTATTCTGTTTGTCGCTGTATGCCTGTGGCCTGGGGCAGTGCTGGGCACACAGTGGGTGCTTCATCAACCCAAAGGAAAACCACAGGAGCCAGTGACCAAGGGCCTGGGAAATTCACCTGAAGGCACAGCCTCCCTAGCGGCCACCATGCTCACAGTTATCTGTCCCACAGAAAGACCTGGTTGAAGAAGAAGCTGAGGAGGCCGGGGTGTCCCTGAAAAGCACCCAGACCACGCTCCAGGAGGGCCTGGCCGCAGATGCCTGGGCTGCCCCAATTGCCACCCAGATCTACAGGAAGCGCCTGGACCCCAGGCCTGGGCTGTGCCCACCTGAGCTAGGCCTGGCCCTGGGCCAGCTGGCTTGCTGCTGCCTGCACCGTCGGGCTAAGAGGAGGCCCCCCATGACCCAGGTATCAGGGTGAGCAGGGAAAGACAGTATTAGAGGTATGTACTGCCCATGGGGACAGTGGCCTGCTGGAAACCCTGCATTTCTGGCGCTTCCCTGTAGTGAGCCAAACACACACAGCACCTGCCAGACCTTTTTCTGGAGACAGAGTCTTTGTACATTTCTGACTTAACCTTTGGTTCTTCCTGCAGTGGCGAGACTCCCCACTGAACCCCTCCTGGTATATAGAGAGTCAAAGGGCTTTTATTGCGCCCCCTTCTGGATGTGCCACACTACTGCATCTGCCTTTTTCTGTCCCATCCCTAGTCCCCACCTCTTGGCCTCTGATAGTTGAGAATAGAGAATCCCCATTTGAGGGCGGCAGGGCACAGAGATTCACTTTCTAGAGGACAGGGAAGCTATTGTCAGTCCTCAGCTTTGGGTGGCTGTATCTCAGTGCTCCTTGTGGGAGGGACAAAGGGGCAAGGGACAGAACTTTCCCAACTGCAGGGTGTACCAGCTTAAGGGTCCTCGGGGTTCCAGAGCCAGCTGTGTGGGGCCTGAGGTGGCAGCTCAAGCCTCAAGGTTATGACTGGTCTTCGTGGCCAAGCCTGGCCTGCCTGGGGGCAGAGGGGAGCCCCACCCAGGCCACTGTCCCTGAGAGCCCCTTTCTCCTCACAGGTGTACGAGAGGCTGGAGAAGCTTCAGGCAGCAGTGGCAGGGCCATCCCTAGAGCTAGAGGCTGGCAGCCGCAGCCCCCCTTCCCCACAGGAGAACTCCTACATGTCCAGCACCAGCAGTGCCAGCCCCTGGCAGCCCCTGGCATTACCCACAGGACCCCCGGCCCAGGCTCCAGAGCAGCTCCAGAAAGGCCCCAACCAGCCTGTGGAGAGTGATGAGAGTGTGTCTGATCTGTCTGCCGCCCTGCACTCCTGGCACCTGACCGCGAGCTGCCCTGCAGGCCCTGCCCTGCCAGATAGCCCTGGACAAGGGGCCGCCACATGGACCCCAGCACCCCTTGGGCAGGCCAGCTGTACTCAAGGGGGTCCCGCCCAAGAATTGACATGGGGGAACAGCCCAGAGCCCCGGTCCACAGCTGTAGAAGGTAGCTGGGGACAGGTGCCCAGGATAGGGACCAGGGACCTCCTTTGCCAGCAGTCCCCGTACTTCTCACCCCCAGCCTTCTGGGATGACAGAACAAGGCCTGCTGTTAGGTTCACACTCTGTCCCTAGAAAGCTCCAGGCCTCTGCCTTAGGGCAGGTGGCCAGCCTTAGAAAGGGGTGCGGATGATAGCTTGGTGCTGTCTCATCTCCCCAGGCCATGCCCCCCCAAGTGCCAGGAGCTCACTTCCTGAACGCTGTAAACAAGGACGGCTCTCTCTATTTGGGACCAGGTTCTTGGCCTACCTGGGAGCCTGGTTGTGGCACAGCCCTTTCTAGGCCTTGCCCTCAGGGCACTAAGGACTTCCATCCTGAAGGGGCAAGACACGAGACTGGGGCAGGGTGGGCAAGGGTGGCCAGAAGACTCCTGAGACCAGAAGTGTCAGTGAGGAGTTGCCAGGGACAATGGCCCCTGAAGCTAAGAGGGCACTCTCTCCACCCCAGGATCACTCCTGGGCAGCTCTACATCATCACGGCCACCACAGATTGTCATCAACCCGGCCCGACAGAAGATGGTGCAGAAGCTGGCCTTGTACGAGGATGGGGTCCTGGACAGCCTGCAGCTGCTGTCGTCAAGCTCCCTCCCAGGTACCCATGTGCTCTCTGCAGCTGGGTAGTCAGCCTCCAGGGCTGCTCAAGCACGCCTCCTTGTGCCAGCCCCAAACAGCACAGTGTGTTGTTTGTGGGGTTTTTTAGATTTTATTTTGCCCTGGCTGGTGTGGCTCAGTGGACTGAGTGCTGGCCTGTGAACCGAAAGGGCGCTGCTTTGATTCCCAGTCAGGGCACATGCCTGTGTTGTGGGCCAGGGCCCCAGTTAGCATGTGAGAGGCAACTGATTGATGTACCCCTCACACATCAGTGTTTCTCTTTCTCCTTCCCTTACCCTCTCTCGAAAAAAAATTTTTTAAAAATCGCTTTTGAAACATCAGTGTGCAAGAGGTACACCAATGAGTTGCGTCTGCACACCCCCAACCAGGGACCTTTTGGTTTGCAGGCTGGTGCTTGATCCACTGAGCCACACCAGCCAGAGTGAGTGTTTTTTTCTGACCATGCGCTGATGAGGCCCCTGCTCCCCAAGGGTGTGAGACAGCACAAAGGCAGGCCCCCCACCCGCCTCCTGTAGGAATGGCTAGAAGCCCAGGCTGCCCCCATGCCTCCCTCGGGAAATTGTTTATTCTGGGCAAAGCCCTATCCCGGCTTTCTCACTTTCTCCTGAAACAGTACCTTCCCTTAGTCTTAGGGTGCCAGTGCCCCTATCATGCTTCCAGCAAGCATTTTCCATTCCAGATGCTATTTGAAGAAGCTCTGCTTAGGAATGGAAACCTCTCATTCCAGAGAACACCCTGGGAGCTGAGGTGGAACCATGGTCCAGCCCTTGAACCACCCCTGCAGCAACCAAGGGGCCTCCCGATTTACTAACTGGCATTTCCTCCTCCTTCTGTAGGCCTGGAACACCAACACACGCGGGGCCCGGAAGAGAGTGATGAATTTCAGAGCTGATCTGTTCACCTGGGCAGATCCCCCAAACCCGGAAGTCAAAGTTCTCATGGTCAGAAGTTCTCATAGCACACAAACCCTCAGGAGCCCATGGGCAGTAGGGGCGGGAGCCCCAGCCCCACAGGAGAGACTAGCCCCTGTACTATACGGGAATGGGCACAGGCCGGGCTCAGTGCCCCCCAGGGCAGCTGCTGGAAACTGTCAGTAGGGCAGGACATCTCACAGGCCTTGCCTTCAGTCCAGCATTTGGGAGAGAGGAAAGCCGATATCGGCAGGGGAGTGTCGGGGAGGAATGCATGTCTGAAGGCTGCTGGCTGCACAGGCCGGAGAGGAGAGGTGAAGGGGACCATTGGTACAATGGGATATAGCGAGGAGCTGGTACCCCAAGAGCTAGGCAAGGCATTTGCAGCCCAGGCCTACCGCAGCTGCCCTTAACCTTTCTTTTTGAATTTTGCTCAAGCCCTAGGGGAAAGCGGGCACTCTGTAGAATAGAGCAGATGAGGCCCAGGGTCCTCCCAGCCGCTTGTAATGTGGACAAGAGAGTTGCGGCCATCCTATGGCTCAGTCCACTAGCAGAAGTGAGAGTCCTGAGATACCTCAGAGAGTTCCAGCAGTGCCCCCCTGCATCAGGCCAGTGTCAGTAGGCCTCATTGGGCAGCTGGAAGCTAGCCTAACATGATTGCCTGCTGGCCGGGCCACCCCTGGGTGCTACAGACAGCTACCAAACCAAGCCAGGCTCGGCATCAGGCCCAGGCACTGATTGTGACAGAAGGGCCACTTCCCAAGGTTGGCCTAAGCCTGAGTCCTGTGTTACCCAGACAGTGAGAAGCCCCAAGGCAAGAAGTCGGGAGCAAGGCAAAGAAGAAGGAAAAGGAAATTGAGACACCGTTTTAGAAACAAGGGAGGTTTCACGTAACGGTGTCTTCAAAAGTCAGCCCAGGCCTGCAGCATAGGCTTACAGTGACTTGTGTCCACGATCGGGAATCACACTACGTGCCTCACAAAGAAAGGCATTGGTGAAGTCCAAGTTGTACTGGAGTAATAAAAGCTTATGTTTCAATTTCTGATTCTACTCGTGGAGTTTGTTCCACTGAAAACCTCAAGCTTTTCCAATGCTTTTCAACTCAGGGTTCTTGACTGTCCAACCCAAAACAGACCCCCCCCCCACCCCGCCAAATCCCGTGAGGTTTTTGTTACCACTCCCTCAGTCCACAACACTACTACCCAACAGTTCTTGCATGGGCTGTTAAATTTTTCCTATATATTTTATGGGTTTTGATGCTATTGTAAATGGTATGTTTATGTCATTTTCTAATTGGCTGTTGATAGTATATAGGAATACATTTGGTTTTTGTCTGTTGGCTTTCTGTTCTGTGACCTTGCTTAAATTCACTTACTAGCTTTAGCAGCTTTTTCATAGATACACTGGGATAGTCTTTGTATACAAATCACTTCATCAGCAAATAAAGATAATTTTAGCACTTCTTTTCCAACCTGCCTTTTAGTTCTCTTTCTTGCCTTATAGCACTAGCAAGGGCCTCTGATCAGATGTTAAACAGAAGTGGTAAAAGTGGACATCCTTGCCTCGTTCCCAATTTTGGATGCAAAGTATTTTCTTTCACCATTAAGTATGATTGTCATACATGTGTTTTATCAATGTGATTAACCACAGCAGTTGATTTCAAATATTAAACCAACTTTTAATTCCCTAGATAAAAAAAAGTACTTCCTGATATGCGATTTGCTAATAGCTTGAGAACTTTTGTGTCTATTATTCATGGGAGATATTGATCTGTAGTTTCCTGGTAATATCTTTATCTGGTTTTGGTATCACGGCCTCAAAATAAATTGGAAAGTGTTTCCTTGTCTTATATTCTTAAAGGGCGTGTGTGTGCTTGGTGTGAACTTCTTTAAATGAAGGATTCAGCAGTGAAACCATGTGTACCTGGAGTTTTCTTTGTGGGAAGTTTTTAACTCCAAATTCAATTTCTTCAATTAGCTATTAGCCCATTCAGATTTTGCTTCTTCATGTGTCAATTTGTGTCTTTCAAGGAATTTGCCTGTTTCACCTAAATTGGGGTAAAGTTACCCTGGCTGGTGTGGCTCAGTGGATTGAGTGCCAGCCTGCGAACCAAAGAGTCACTGGTTCAATTCCCAGTCAGGGCACATGCCTGGGTTGGGGGCCAGGTCCCTAGTGTGGGGCACATGAGAGGCAACCGCACATTGATGTTTATCTCCCTATCTTCCTCTCTGCCTAAAAATAAATAAAATCTTTTTTAAAAAATTAATTAATTGGCATAAAGTTAGTAATCCCCCCTTACGATCCCTTTACACCTGCAGGTACCATAGTGACATCCCCCCTTCCATTCCTGATATTGGTAATTTATGGCTTTCCATTTTCTTCATTATCCTAGATAGCTTGTCAATTTTATCAAGCATTTCAAAGTACCAAATTTTGGTTTCATTGATTTTTTTCCTCCATTGTTTGCCTATTTTCTGTTTTGTTAATTTCTACTTGTTATCCTTTCCTTTAGTTCACTTATTTTGGAGTAATAAAAACTTATTTCAGGTTAGATTTGCTCACACCTTTCTCTGACATCTTAAAATGTAGCCTTAAAATAATTGGTTTTAAACTTTTCTTTTTCTAACATAAGTATGTACTTAAAGCTAGAAATTCCCTTTGATAACAGCTTTAGTTGAATTCTACTTAATTTGGATATGTTCTGTTGTCGTCATTCAGTTCAGAATGTTTTCTAATTTCCCCTGTAATTACTTTTTGTAGAGATTTTATTTATTTACTTTTAGAGACGGGAAGGGAAGGAGAAAGAGAGGGAAAGAAATATCAATGTGTGGTTGCCTCTCGCCCATCCCCTACTAGGGACCTGGCCCGCAACACAGGCATGTGCCCTGACTGGGAATCAAATCTGTGACCTTTTTGTTTGCGGAACAGTGCCCAACCCACTGAGCCACACTGGTCAGGGTGCGTGGTTACTTCTTTAAGCAATAACTTACAAGTACATTTAATTCCCAAATATTTGGGGACTTTGCAGATACCTTTTTGTTATCTGTTTTTAATTATATTGTGGTCAGAGAATTTACTCTGTAAATTTGCTCTGTATAATTTCATTTCTTTTAAAATTATTGAGACTTGCCCTGGCTAGTGTGGCTCAGTGGATTGAGTGCCAGACTGCGAACCAGTAGGGTCACTGGTTTGATTCCCAGTCAGGACACATGCCCGGGTTGCAAGCCAGGCCCCCAGTTGGGAGTCCTTGAGAGGCAACCACGCACTGATGTTTCTATCCCTACCTTCCCCTCCCTTTAGAAATAAATAAAATCTTTAAAAAATATAATTAGACTTGTTTTATGATTTAGCTTAGTGAATGTTCCATGTATACTTTAAGAGAACATACTCTGCAGTTGGGTGGAATGTTCCTTTAAATGTCAGTTAGTCCAGGTGATTGGTAGCGGTCTTCCAGTCTTCAGCATCCTCGCCGATTTTCTGTCTACCAGTTCTCCCTGGCAAACTGAGGAAAATATCAGAGTCTCCAACTGTAATTGTGGATGTGTCTCTCTCCTTTCAGTTCTGTTTGACTTTGCTGCCTCTATTTTGCATTGGGTGCATACACACTTAGGATTGTTACATGTTCGTGATAAATTGACCCTTTCACTATCACGACATGCCCCTCTTTATCTCTGGTAGTATTTCTTCTTTCGATGTCTGCTTTGTCTGTCATGACTGCAGCTACTCCGACTTCTCTATGCTTAGTTTGCTTTGCGGTGTAACTGTTCTTTCAACCTATAGGAATCTTTATATTTCCAGCACATTTATAGACAACATATGGTTTTGGCTTACTTTTGTAACCAGTCTGATAAAATATGCCTTTTTAATCAGTTTGTTTAATCCATTTACATTTAATGGTTGAGCTGAAGTCTACCATCATCCTATTTGTTTCTTATTTGTCCTATCTGTTCTTTGTTCCTTTTTTTCCTTTGTTCTTGACTTCTCTTGGATGTTTCTGGTGTTCTGTTTTTTCTTCATTATTGGCTTATTAGTTCTGATAACTGGTTCTGCTCAATAGCCCCCTTCCTGCACCATGACTGGGAAAATGCCTCATAGGTCCAGCAGTGGAAGTCCGGGCTGCTTGTAAAGGTCACTGCATCAGTTTCCTTCTGATCACAGCCCTGCAGTGCCTGTTATCCAGTGTCTAAAAGTAGTTATTTCTAATATTTTGCCTAGTTTTCTAGTTGTTCGTAGTTGTTTATAGCCAGAGGGCTCTTCTGGCATTGGCTGTTCTCTCATGGCCACTATCAAAAGTTTCCCCTCTTTTCTGAATAATTGTTCACTCTTAAGGTCAGCCTATTTTTCTCCTGTATGATCAATTTCTCCCTTGCTCCTGGATCTAGTTTCATCAAATATGTCCCCTAGTAGCTTTCATTATTTTTAGAGAGAGGGGGAGGGAAAGAGAAAGAGAGAGAGAGAAACTTCGATGTGTGGTTGCTTCTCATTCAACCGCTACTGGGGACCTGGCCCACAACCCAGACATGTGCCCTGACTGGGAATTGAACCAGAGACCCTTTGGTTCACAGGCCCGCGCTCAACCCACTGAGCCACGCCAGCCAGGGCAGTAGCTTTCATTCTTCAAGAAGTCCTTTGATCCAACACTTCTGTCCAATCACAACCCCAATTCTCTGTTCTTTATAGCCAAACTTCTCAAAATAATTGTCTGTCTTCCCATTTCTCATTCCCTTTTCAACCCTTTCTAATTTGGCACCTACCCCCCATTCCACCAAAGTCCTGTCAAAGACACCCATGATCATGTTGCCAAAGCAGTGACCCTTTTCTTTGTGCTGTGGGCCTCCTGGTGGCCACACCCTTTCTCACTGGCCTCTGTCTCCTCTACGCAATCTCTACAAGGCAGGAGTCCCTTGGGGCTCACCCTGGGCCCTCTTTGCTACCTCCACGTGCTCCTATGGTGAACTCAGCTCTCGTTTTCATGGCACTGAAGACCATCTATCTATTGATCATCACCAAATAGCATCTCTAACAATAAACTCTCCTCTGAGCTTTTCACCCATACTTCCAAATGCCTACCACACACATGTTTGCTTTGGTGTCTCACAGGCACCATAGCTTAAGTGACAAAACTGAACTTGGGATCCCTAGTTGCCCCAATCTTCTTGTCTCAGTATGTGCCAGTACCGCCGCCTTCCACCCAGCTGCCCAAGCCAGACCTCAGAAGTCAGGCATTTTTAATAGAATTTGTCAGGGAGGGAATGCAGACTGGTGCAGCCACTGTGGAAAACAGTATGGAATTTCCTCAGAAAACTAAAAATGGAACTGCCTTTTGACCCAGCAATTCCACTGCTGGGATTATACTCTTAAGAGTCCTGAAACACCAATTCAAAAGAACCTATGTACCCCAATGTTCATAGTAGCATAATTTGCAACAGCCAAGTGCTGGAAGCAACCTAAGTGCCCTTCAGTAAATGAGTGGATCAATAAACTGTGGTACATTTACACAATGGAATACTACGCAGCAGAGAAAAAGAATGAACTCCTACCTTCGCCACAGCATGGGTAGATCTGGAGAGCAGTATGCTAAGTGAAGTAAGCCAGGCGGTGAAAGGCAAATACCATATGATCTCACCTATAAGTGGAACCTAATCAACAAAACAAACAAGCAAGCAAATTATAACCAGAGACATTGAAATAAAGAACAAACTGACAGTATCCAGAGGGGAGTTGGGAGGGGAATACTAGGGGAAAGAAGGGGAAGGATCATTCAGGGAACAAGTATAAAGGGCCCATGGACAAAGCCAAAGGGGGGTAGAATTGAGGGTGGGAGGTGGGGGTGGGTGGGGCAGGGGAAAATGCAGATAACTAGTTGAATATTAATTTTTAAATTATAAAAAATATGAAAAGAAAAAAACTGTAGCTAGAAAAAATTTGTTAGGGAGATGTAACTTAAAGGCAGAAGAGTACACAAACTGTACATGTATACCTCAAGAGCTTTTTATATATGTGGACAGCCACGTGACAGCCACCATTTAAACCAAGAT